CGTCTGAACACGTCCTTTTAAGAGAATTTAAGCGCTTTATCGGGATGAATAGAGACGAGAGTTGGAAGGCCAGTGCAGAGCTTTCTTCCCCACTAGAGTGCTCGTACTTCACGCAATGCTCGCTTGCGTGGGTGGGTGGGGGGGGGTGTTAGAAGTTGAAGTGGAGGGCACCACTTTTACATTACAAATGATTGGCTTAATATTCCAAAATTTAAATTTCGCTAATCTTCTCCCGGATGCTTGGGGTGTGCGATAGACTTACCTCCACGTGGTGCGCCCTGGGCAACGTACCTTCGTACGGCAAAAAAGTCTATTAACCGGCATTTGACTTTGACTTCAAATTACCACGACCCCCCTGGTTGCCATATTCGACCCCTTCCACAGAACTCACCTTACCTTTGTCTCTGCCTTTGTGTCTGTCTGCCTCTTTTATATCGGTGAATCGCTCTTCTGTTCCCCACCCCTCGACTTTCTGCTACTTTGATGTTCCTCCTCCTCTCTGTGAAGCCTGAAGTCAGCTAAATGGCTAATGATATCTATCAAAACGCCTGCCATTTGAAATAAATAAATAAATCTCCCGGATGCTTAGCGCTGATTGGCCGGTTATTTGTGGTCGAGAAGGGGCAGTCTTATCACCTCATTTTTTCCTTTGGTTAGAGAAGTGAATGATTACACACCTGCTACTCAATAGCGTAGAATCTTACGCATGTATTGGGATGCTTGGCGTACGCTAGGCTTTATTTGTGCGGAAGCAACCAAATTATGGAGGAAACGTAATCCAAGCGAAGGTATGAACCCCTTGGCTTTCGACATCATCTAAGACAGCTTTCCTCATTCAGAGCCACATTCCTAATAATAGAATTGATATTCAACCCATTGGGTGTGCGATAGACTTACCTCCACGTGGTGTACCCTGGGAAACGCATACCCATACGGCTAAAGTCTATCAACTGGCGGTTGACTTCTGATTTCAAACTACCATCACCCCAATGTATGTCATACTCGACTACCTCCACAGTGCTCACCTCACACTTTTTCTACCTTTGTGTCTGTTTCTTTTACATCATTGAAACACTCTTCTGTTCCTCCCACCTCCCCTCTCGACTCTTATTTCACTTTAATGTTTCTTCTCCTCTCTGTGAAGCCTGAAGTTAACTAAAGGGCTAATGATAACTATCAAAACGCCTGCCATTTGATATAAATAAATAAATATTCAACCCATTGGTAAAACATATTTAAGGAAATAAAAAGCTATCTCCAACTTCTTCGGTAAAGCCACAATTCTTCGTAATTAAATTAATCATGTAACTAGGCAGTTGACTAATCTATTTTGACCCAAAGTTGATTGATTTATTTTCCATGGCAGAGCTAACAAGCTTCAGAACCCTTCACTAAGGAGAGCATTCATATCCATAGAGAGAGAACGAGAGGTCATAGTTCCAGACTACATTGTAGACTGGACGTCAATAGCCGGGGTCCAGTGACCCATCATCACCAATCTCGCTTTCATTTCTTACCCACACCTTCCAGTTGTGATTGAACTTCAACAATTTGAGGGAAAGAATTCTTTGCCTCCTCACCGAAGACTTGTTTAGAATCCTCTCGGTGTTGTCTTAAAAAACTTTTTCCTCCTTAAGCTCTACAAGCACCCATTTTTGGGAAGTCGGATCTCAGTAGGGGTTTTCGATGATATACCACTTCTATGAAGACCTGTCTATAGATCGAAATCTTTGTCCTTGCAGTTGTGCAACAGGGAGACTTTTCCGTTAGAACTTTATTACTCGTTTGTCTCCCTACGTGTTGTTCTTCGAGTGGTCCATTATCATCCACTATACGACAGACAACTGTAAATAATACCCCCCACCCACACACCACACACACACACACACACACACACACACACAAACACACACACACACACACAGAAGATTTCTCGTTGGAAGAACAAATGATTGTCGATCTACGTGACCTCGTCGACGATATTGAAATAAGTAAAACAAGAAAAGAAAGCTAGGTTTCATAAGTTTGAAAAGAAATTGTTAGGTTTCCGATCAAATTTTTTTAACATGAATGGTGTTAAGATAGCATCAGACCGATAAGGCTAGTCACAACACCAAATGCATTCTATATTTCAAAAATAGCCAATAATCACATGTTGGTACAATAGACCTAATCTGTCATGCCACTTTCTTCCCAACCATCCACGTGAAGAATGATGTTATCTGAGCTACCATCTAACGAGTATCCTTCTTCCCTTCCATACATCGAGTTCCCAGCGGCCTTCTAATCGCAACCAACTGAGAAAGGATATTCGACAGCGCTGTGAGCTCACTCCTAGTACCCGGTGTGAGCACGGTGAAGCACGTTTGATCGGAGAGGTTTGGCAAGTCGTTGAGCAGATTTTCCGAACTCTCCAGTCTTTCAATTAATGTGCTCGTGTTGGTGGCATCAATCCTCACCTTTTCTGATGTGACTTTGGGTTTCGGGATTGTGTGGTATGGAAATGCGAGGAGGAAAGCAGTGAGGAGAGTGGTTGCTCGAATCTTTGGATCTGTGACGAGAGGGATTGCACAAGCGAGCCTCGTGGGGGATGGAGTCCCCGCGCTACTGTTGACACCGAATGAGGGTCTGCCGTAACTCAAATTAAGGGAGGAAGTAGGACGATATGCAAGTGGACCGCAGACATCAGTGGTCAACCACTCGTAGGAACGTTGAGGGAGACGTTCTAGGGCTAATCGAGCTCGACGACCAGTTGCCGATGAAACCAATTCGAAGATGATCTAAAATGGGAAGAAGAAGCAAAAGAGCTGAAATAACACAGAAATCAGTCAGTTCACTAGCATTTTACGACTGTTTCAGAGATGGCCGAGATTGGATTGGCAAAATATTCTTTAGTACTTAGTCTATATATACGTATTTGCCAATTTCAAAAAGGACTGTTATTCACGTCACTAAACCAACAACGAGCAAAAGTGCAATATCAACCGACGTCATAGTCAAGAGAGGCCATGGTGAAATTATACGCTTAGCTCGCTGTCTGCTTAATGATGCCCTATGATTGGTTTAAAATCTTCACTGATCAATCGCTATTGCGGCAAATCCAATATCCTTGGCCTTCGACTCCTCTCGCCTTCATCGAGACTGTCTTTGCAAGTATAGCATATAACATAACACGGTTCGATTAGAAGTTGCACCGTTTTGTTGATAAGCAAGAAAAAATAGCCTGTGCCGTTGTTTCAATGTTCGAGGTCAAACAATATCAGCCAATCATCAACGCGATAAAGATCCACCTGCTTTCTTACTTCATACCACTAAGTCAATGTAGAAAACTGATTGTCAAATATGCTCAATAACAGTGGCTCCTACCATTCCTCTTAGTTACTAAACATCATCAATATGCAATAGCATAGAGCAAATAAATGAATAAGCACCCGAATATGTGTTAGAGTGTGTTCACGAAAAAAAGTAGCGTTTTGAAAGCTGATCAGTGTCTACACACACACACATTCACACACACTCTGCACCTTTGATGGAACAAATAAGTTTCAATAAGTCATCTAATAGGATCGCAATAAAATGAAGAGTCAGACCAGCTTAAACACCCTAAATTTGGAATCCAGAGCATAAAGAAGACAAACCTGTGTGGCCGTTTCAATAGTCGAGGCAGCACTTCCACTTGAATCTGGCCAGAGGGGTTGGCATCCAAAGAAGAATCCGGGAGGTCGATGCGTGATCAACAGAGAGAGCAGTTTATCTAATAGGCTATCAACAAGGCAGGGACAATCGCAGCGCTGACCTCGACCATTTTGAGGAGGGGAGTTGGGCGAGAGAATGGGTGAGCAATGGGCGGGACCAGATCGATTATTTTTGCCGTGCTCTGAACCTCGAATTGGTTGGAGAAGGCAGCAACAAGTTTTACCAAGACTATTTTGAGGCGTAGTCCTCAAATAGGTGCTCCATTCTTCTGCCACCTTCCTCAGGCGACCTCCAGCACTGTCTGGGTCAAGGAAGGAAGGGGGTGAGAAAAAGGCCTATGAAAGAATCAAAACAGGTTTCTTGGAAGTTCCATTTAAGCGTTCTTATCAGCATTACAAATAATATATCACTAACCATCTGATTCAAGTTACCTCGCATTATTAAAAGCAACAATCGAAAACGCATCGTCGTTTTTACCTGAACACTACTTCAATGCGATGAAACCACGAGTACGATCACCTTCCTTAGACAGACGAACGGAACAAACGCCACAAATGTGAGAATAGACTATGAAGCCACTAAATCTGAATTTTGTGCTTCTACTGATTAAAATTTTTCTTCGCATAATTATCGCGACTTACAGGGGCTCGAGATGAGATCAAGCAAGTTGATGGAATAAATATTATCTCCGAATTGGAGGCCTTCTGCCTCCCTTTCACAGACTCGGAGCAACAATAGATAAAGTGTATCTCAGTGGGCCCCCACATAAGTATATCGCAACAGCAACTTAGCCTCTACTTGTGGCTACCAGAACAGCCAATTGTCACATAGATAGAATTAACGCAGATGTATTCTTAATCAGTTAATTAGATCCGATTAAATTTGTCTTCTTTTTCACAAACCCAGATTGCCAGAACTAAGATGACTCCCAAAGTATCTGACCGATTCTAGATAAATCTCCTCATTGCATTATTTGGAAACTAATTGATTAAGTAAAGCCAGAAGCAATATATATGTTTCCAAAAGTGAGCATGCCAAAAGACCCTACTTTTATTGATTTTTCCATCACCTATGCTCATTCCACTTAATAGGTGCACACTGATCGATTCCAGATGACGCATTTTAAAGACATCAGTTTACAAATTGGACAGTGGACACATTTCGTTTGGCCGAAATTAGAGAAGTGTCAGTAAAAGCTGTCAGTTAAAATGAACTGCTTTGGCACACGCTGTCCGGGGCATGAAATTCACAAAAACAACCCCCCCCCCCCAAGTATGTTCTAATAGGTGCTCCAGAAATTGAAGAGGCATCACAAGTGTCTACTACTGCAAAAAAATTGATATTAAAAGCAAACTTTTTCAGGATTCTAAAGTACATCCTCTAGTGATGGCTCCTATCTTCGAAACGAGAATGTGTAATAGACTTACCCCCCACTCCCATGAGCAACGTTTGCTCATACGGAAAATAAGCCTATTAATTGGCCGTCGATTTCTGACTTCAAACTACCAACACCCCACTGTATGCCATATTCGAACCCTTCCACAGTACTCAACTCACAATTTTTGCTCTTCTATTTAATGATAATTTTTTCCTTTCAATTAGCACACCTACACATATCGACCTAGTGGAAAGCATTCGATAGATTCCAGAAAACGCATTTTAAAGAAGTCTTTTGCAAATTGGACAGTAAAGACATTTCGTTTGGCCGATCAAAGCCATAGTAGATGAGAGGTCACTAAGCACTGGAGATTTATATTGGTGCATATTTTCCATTACTATCAATTACAAGTCACAGCAAATGAAGTTCAACCGATTTCTGCTCGGCATGCTAATAAGAGGAACTTACCTGAAATGCAGCGTCCGCAAAGCAGAACAACATCAGTCTATTGACATTCGCAAACGCCGATGAGGATATAAACGTTTCCCTAGCCGTCCGATACTCCTCGAAGGCTTCTCCAGTCTCCTGGGAATCTTGGGTGGGAGATGATGCTTGAGTTAGACCAATTCGAGGATCGAAAGTCCTTGTTATGAGCATATACCCCCTGGGTCGTCCAGTAATCTTATCCAGGGAGCAGATTCCATTGTAGATGGAAGTGAGGGGAGCCCAATGCATTGGATACTTAAATGCAGCTGTATCGAGAACCAAGATGAGATCACGTTTAGGATGATAACCACCGACTAGAGTGTAATGACCGCTACCGGTTTGGTTCACGGCCTTGCGATCATATGCCACTACGAGGATTGTGCCCGAAGTGGAGAGGGATTGCGAGCAGAGGCTCAGGATACGAGAACGAAATATGTCAATGGTTTCTGTGGGGCAGTTAGGTTGGTGGAGATCAACCTAAAAGTAAAACGAGAACAGGTGGTGAAACGGGTGTCTACTTTGGGTCACTAAGCCGATTGCAACCACAATAGCCAGAAGAGACACTTATCAGCAAAAGACCAATCAGAATAGCACGTGGGTGTAGAAGCGCACCAATAAGAAACTACGGCATAAGATACACTTACACTCATGACTGTGACATAAGGAAGTGGTAATTGTGTAGTCTTCATTAATATATCTCTATTTAAAACACACTCCATGGGTAACGTCTGAATGTACCTAACTATCAAGTGACAACGAGCTAACAAGCCATGAATGGCATGTATGTAGCGCCATAATAAACAAGAACGATAAAAGTCTACCACCCACTAGCCAAAGACAATGGTTGCATTACTTAAATAACCAATCAAACTCTACCATTTTATGAGTATCTTATCCGGCTCGTAAGAGGAGACCTCCAATGTCCAAAACTTTGTCGATTCTATTGAGAAAAGGACATAAGCGGCCATTGAAATTTGAGCTGCTTGAAACTTTCGGTACACCCTTTGTGCACTTTTAGACACATTGTACTCCTCTCTAATAAACACACATTCTACTCCGGCTAACGAAGTACGTTTGGACAGTGGAGAAAGATCGAAAATTCATGAAACGGCTCATACGGAACTCGAAAATACTAGCTGTTTAGTTCAATCCCTCTTTCTCATTCGCTATCATCAATCCCAGACTTCTAGCGGTGGGAATAGCTGCTACTTATTCATCAAATTTCGACTTCCGAAAGAAGATTTATAGTACTATAGAGGTGGCTTACTATTTCTCTAATAAGACACAATTTTTTTTTCGAGAATGGTATCGGAAAAACAATTCGATTACTTTTTAGCCTCAGGCGGGGAAACCCGAGTACTTCATCTCTTGTGAGCGGGATAATCGATTAATGGATTCCCTCTCACTCACTCACTCGTGGAGAGGCAATCGCTTCAATTAGTGACTAACCAGGTAGCCAATCATTTATCGCATCCAGACAAATAAAACTGAATTTCCTTCATTGGGAAAAAAGCGTAGTCTTGAATTAGAAGCCATCTCTTTTCTTCTTCCTTGAATCTATTAGGTTGGCAACTAAGTCATTGCCGATTTCAAATAAGAAGGCGAATTCGAAATTTTTGTTTAAAAATATAACTTTATTCAATTAGATTTTGGCCGTTCTTGTCGATGACCTTTTTCCATCGTTCTGGCAGAGTAAAAATTCCCCCTTCGTAAAATATCCGGTCTTTGCTATTAAAAAACTGAATTAGGTGTGATCCGACATCATCCGCGTTGTTAAAAATTTTACCATCTAAAGAGTTTTGCATGGAACGAAACAAATGGTAATCCGAAGGCGCAAGGTCAGGGCTATATGGTGGGTGTGACAAAACATCCCAACCCAGTTCCAATAATTTTTGCCCAGTAGCCAAAGATGTGTGGG